CGGCTTTTTGCAAACTGAACTTTTTGGAAGTTTTGTTGCCCCCCAAACCTTCCAAAAGGAAGCAAGATGAGGAAGCCTATACTGGCATTTTTCACACATGCCCCCCCCCCATGGCATCCTCCCCAGTTGCCAATCAAGAGCACTAAACCACAGAGGGAGATGGGTGAAAAATGCCCACTGCAATTCCAAATGCATGCATTTTGGAATGTCACTCTGCAAAGGTTTAAATTTGCTGCACCGTTATGAAAAGTGGAGTTTCCCTCTCCTGCGTTCTGCAGGCTTCTACGGATGGGCCCAGAAGCGGATGCAACTTCTTTCTGAGGACTTGGCAAGGGTGCCACCTGGTGACCAAGGATGAATAAAGATCAGATCCTCTAAGAATGAAACGGGGGAGAGAGATCCCAGTGTTATACCAAACACATTTCAAATAAGTGTTGTGTGTTAAGTTGCAGAATCACGGTGGGAGGAACTGCAGACAAAATCAGCGAATTCTAGAGTTGGAAATGATCCTCGAGGTCATCTAGTCCAGGGTCCCTCAACCCTGGCAACTTTAAGCTGGGTGGACTTCAACGCCCAGAATTCCCCAGCCAGCACAGCTGGCTGGGGAATTCTGGGCGTTGAAGTCCACCCAGCTTAAAGTTGCCAAGGTGGAGAAACACGGCCTTAGAGAGTCTGGTGAAACCTCCAGACCCCTTCTCATAAAAATGCATTTAAATGCGTAACAGGAAATACATAGGTATACATTGTATTTGCAAAGGAAACCAATTATGCTCAAATTGAATATCAGAATATTTTAAAAAATAACCAATATGGAATATATGGGCTCTTTTCTTAATCCAGTAAATCAATCACAGTACCCTTTTTTGGAAATGATCAATGGAGGCAGTGAGATTTACTGAAGATATAAAAAGCCATAAATTATTGGTCTACCTACATCATTAAATGCAAAGCTTCATTTATGTTACAGGTTAGTGAAAATGTTTTTTTTTCCCATTCAAGCCCGCAGACCCTCTGAAATCTATCCACGGTCCCCCAAGGGTAGACTCCAGGTTAAGAATCCCTGCAGTAGAGCATCTAGACAGTGTTTTTCAAACTTGGCAACTTTAAGACCTGTGGACTTCAATTCCCAGAATTCCCCAGCCAGCTGGGGAATTCTGGGAGTTGAAGTCCGAACATTTTAAAGTTGCCAAGGTTGGGAAACACTGATCTAGACAGATGAGCCTCCAACCTACTTAAGACCTGCAGCTAGAGGTGTCCACAGGCTGGGGTCCAAAATGTAAAAAAAAAGCCAAAATGGTAACCATGACAGTACAATGCACATCAAAAACAGGCACAGCTTCAATTACATCATTGTGGCCTCCATCTTGACTTTTCTGACCCCACCCTGCAGATCCATGCCATAGATGTCCACCAGCTGCACCCCTTTTGAATATTCATGCCACACACACACAGAGAAGCGACGTTTGCTTTGCATTGCAAGACCAACCTCTTTGACACTTTGGTGGACCCCAGTTCTGATCCCCAAAGCTTCCCAGACAAGATCCAACAGGAGAGAAATCCAAACAAGATTTGGAATGAAAATGTGGCGGCCAGCTTTGGCCCCTTGCAACCATGCTGGTGTGGAAAGTCGGCGCTGGCTGTGCCAACGAAGATGCCCTGAAGTCACCCACAGAACATCTTTGTCTCATTCCTAGTGTGCGAGGGTTACAGCATTCGAAGTACAAATCCACTTCTAAGCACAAGGACCGCCAAAACATATTTGCATCTCATTAATATAACTGAAAAATATCCGTATCCAGTGTTTCGACTGGGTGAAAATACCACCTCCTTCAGAGCGAGTTTCTTCTCTGATGTTTTTTCAACTTCGCTGCCCAGTGGCCAAGCCTGGACGTTCATTACTGGTCTCCCATCCGATCTTTTCCGGACTGTACTCTGCTCAGCATTTAAATCTAGATCTGATTGCTCCACTAAAAACAACAAGCAACGGGCAAACTTCAAGGCTTCATCAAATGAGGCATTACACAAAATTCCCAGGAGCCCACTGGCAGAAAGCAGGGCACGGCTCCAGCTTAAGCAGTCATTTCATTTTCGGAACATATTCACCCGTATGGCCAAAAGGGATCTGTGCAAAAAATCCAGGGGAAATCCATAGCATGCACGAACTGCTGGATCTCAGGATATGTGGGTGATCGTAGGTGGGGATGACCTTGGGGGACAGAGAGAAGAGACACAGCCAAGGGGACGGTCAGATAAAAGGCCGCTGAGCCCGCAGCAGGAATGGGGCGTGGCAAATGTCTCAGAAGGGACCCTCCCTAGTTTCTTGGGCTGTAAAGGAGACAGGGGGAGAGATGCAATTTCAGACTTGCAAGATTCTGATAATGTAACCCAGTGTTTCTCAACCTCAGCAACCTTGAGAAACATTGGTGTAACCTTACAATTAAGTAGAATTTGCTCATCTGGGTGTGTTTCCTGCCTCCCAAGGCTCACAGTGTGTGATCTGATGCCCTTACCAAGTTCTTCTCTCTCTTCTGATCTTGGAGTCCCCCAGCTAAGTCTCCAGGCTAAACCCTGGGAGTTTCCATTCACACCCTCAACTGCAAATGCATTCCACGCACGCGCCTGGTGCGTGTGGATGCAGACCGGACGGAGGCCAATCCAATCCACGGATAACAGGAAGGAGTCACGGGCGCAGAAGAAACCTGAGTGTTTGCAAGAGAGAGGGAGAGACGCGGACAGGGAGAAATGAATTTGGCCGATGGCAATGGAGCAAGGAACGTCCTGCAGAAGGCAGAAGGGAGAATGGGCTGTCGAATTTCACCTCCTGTTAGAAAATGAGGTTGTGCTGCAAGACGTTTTGGTGTGTCGTGTTTATATCACGGCAATCACAGTCATCACCATCTATCGATCGATGGATTTATTCAGTGCCCATCTCACAAATGAGACCGTGGTGGGCTAACAACCCGTTCAAAATAATCCCCCACCCCACCCCACCCCCCAAAAGCACCACCCAAAAGCTGCAACGGTTGCCGAGAACAGACCCAATCAACAGGAGTCAGCAGTGATCATTACATCTTGAGGGCTATCTCACTTCCTGACCACGTGCCCTGGGGCACACCTAGGTCTTCTGGGCTTGGGAAAAGACCAGCAGGGTCAGGGCCAGTCTGATCTCGGGGGAATGGTGGTCCAGAGGGCAGGCCCCGTGACAGAAAAGGCCCACTTCCCAGGTCCCATTAGATGGCATTCGTTAAAGGAGGGGATCCAGAACATGCCTCTCCTGTTGGGCCTGTTGGGGTGGGACGAAATTAGGGAAGCGTTCCACCACGGGGAAAAGCTGCTTAGGAAGATAAGCCGGACAATATTCGGTTTTCAGACCATGCCTCCCGGGCGGGGGACATGAAGACGAAAAGGAGGACGAGTCCTCCTGTTGCTGGACATCTAGCAACCCTCGTCAGAGCCAGCCTTAGGACCACAAATGGTCCAGATCTTGAGTGTCTGCAGGACCACCTTCTCGGGAGAGCTTCTGCCCGCCCAGATAAGATCTGTAGGATGGGCTTGCTCTGTGCCCTTCTGCTCAGAGACTGCAGGAGTGGGTCTTCTTAACTGTGGCCCCCCCTTCCATAGAATGTGCTACACAAAGCCCCCCCCCCCTTCAGATTTCCAGGAAGGGCGTTAAAGCAGATTTACTTCATCAGGCCTTGAAATGGCAATGATTTCATCTCTCTAACCACAGAAAAGGACAGGAAGGCCTGGAGCGATGTGGTTCATGGGGTCACGAAGAGTCGGACACGACTTAACGACTGAACAACAACAACAAGAAAACCACAGAAGTTGGTTTTCGTTTGGGGAGTCATGAATAAACAAGATGTTGGGCATTATGTATGTCACTCTGTCTGTAGCAGTGTTGTCCAAACTTGGCCACTTTAAGATGAGTGGACTTCAACTCCCAGAATCCCCCAGCCAGCATGCTTTAAGATGGGTGGACTTCAACTCCCAGAAGTCCCCAGCCAGCACGCTTTAAGATGCATTAAAAAGAAAGAGAAAAAAATAAAAAGAGCAGAAAGCAAGACAATAAAAGAAAGGAAAAAAAGATAATTAAAGAAACAAGAATCAGAAAAAGCAAGCGACTTCCGACCTTCTCTTCAACTTTACAAAAATCCCTTCAGCCCCTTATTCAATTCTTTTCCAATCGTCAAATCCAAAAATCGCCCTTTCACTTTTTTTCCTTCTCAGTAAAAGTCCATAAAGGGCCTCCAGTCTTTTATAGAAGGACTGAATTGTTTTATCCCTGACCAAGGAAGAGAATGGCAAGAGCAGGCGGCCTATTTGCAGGGTGGTCCGCTGGGGGCTTTCAAAAAGTCCAGAGGTGATCAAAGCCCCACCTTCCAAATTCACATGAAAAAGGAAGGGATCCCAACTGCAAGGCTGTGGCCACCATCTTGACTTTTTTGACCTCCTCCCCCTGCAATTGCCTCTGGATGGACACCTTCCAAGCTGCCTTCTAACTCTGCCGTGACCACTTTTACATTTTCACCAGGGTTGTGCAAGCTTCTAGAACAATTCAGTGGAAGCCTTCATTCTCTGGGGGAGCCTCCCATTAGGGCTATGATTCATTCAAGGAGCCCGTGGCGGTTTTTCAGGCTTCTGCTCAAGCTGCAAAACAAATAACTCAATAAAGAAATAAATAGGCAGTCATTCAGGGAACCCACTCACGAACATTAATGCATCTCCTCATTAAATGCTTTTTTCAGGGTCAGATGGAAACACGTGCAAGCTGAAGGCTTGCTCTGACCCTTGTTTCTGGCAGCTTTTCTAAAAGCGATTGGGGAAGTGTTCCTCCTCCAAAAAGACAGGGAAATGACCCTTTTGGGCAGGCATTTCAGGTAAACCGAATGTCAACATCTGTGTGGCCTTGGAACACGGAAGTTTAGCCAAATGTGTTTCTGAACGTGATGCAATCAGGGCTGGGCAAACTTTTAGTTAATGTTTTCGAGATTTTGGGTACGGGACCTTCCTCCTTGCGCAGCATAAAAGAGACTGCCGGCTGAACGCAGCGCCCAAGAAGAAGAGAGGCTGGCAGAAACCAGGTTTGGAGAGAGCTACAGGTAAGTGCGGAGTCCGCGGCACACGCCTGGGCTTTTTTTCCACAGCTGGAGGGTTGGGGCATTTGGAAGGAAAGAAAAAGTTGCAAACTTTTGGGATGGGAGTTGCAGCCCGGGGCGCCGAATCCTGCCTGCAAAAGACAGCATCAGTTTGATTCCCCTTTCCCCAAATTTCTAGTCCTGAAGATTCTCTAATTAAGAAACAGAAATGTCAGATCCTGAACCAATATGATTCACTTTAAGGTGCACATTTTGCAAGAAGCAAGCAAGCGGGAGGGAGAGGAAGGCAGGCAGGCAGGCAGGCAGGCAACTCTTCCACCCCCCACCCCCATCTATTCGTGGCTATTCCACATTTTTATCGGTGACTCAGATGAGGGAGTTGAGGGCCCCCTTATCATGTGTGCAGATAACCCAAAGCTGGACGGGGGAGCAGATGTGTGAGGAGAGAGGAAGATTCAAAAAGATCTCAACAGGCTTGAGCAATAGGTGGAGACGAAGAGGACAAAACTGAACAGCAGGAAATGTCAGATTCTTCATCTGGGTAGGAAAAATGGAAGGCACAAATATAGGAGGGGGGAGTTGCATGGGTGAAAGGGAACTACCACCCCTTCAAGATAGTCCAGTCCAGGAAACCAAGAACGCTAATACTATCTTCATGGTAAGGTCACAGTAAGAGAAACTTGCAAGTCTGAAAGTGTGTCCCCCCGACCTTCCTTTACATCCCCAAAAAGGCAAATGCAATCTTGGGGTGCATGAACAAGAGCAAGGAGTCCGGATCATGGGAAGAAATTCCCCAGTCAGCACACTTTAAGATGTGTGGCTGGGGAATTCTGGGAGGTGAAGTCCATCCATCTTCAGGTTGCCAAGGTTGAGAAGCCCTGCCCTGCACAAATCACTACTAAGACCCACACACAATGTTAACACCAGCCTAGCTGAACATTTGGGCGAACACAACTCCTAGGGCTTTAGCTTAAGTGCGTTGCCCCCCATTCTCCCTCTCTGCTTCTGTACAGGATGGATTCCTCAGGTCCAGCCCTCCTGATCACCTGCATTGTGATGTCCCTTACCGGCTACAGCCAGCAGATCCTCTACTGCCCACCAGACCCTGCTCCAGAAAACATCACTGAGTTTGTCTGCAACTCTCCCTCTCTCTCTGAATTTCCCACCGGCTTCCCCGTACAAACCAAGATGATCTCGGTTGAGTTCACCCAGCTCTCCAGCCTTGGCGTGGACGCCCTCCAGGGTCTTCCGAAGCTCCAGGAACTTCATCTGTCCGGCAACAGGCTGAAGACTCTTCCAAGTGGCCTCTTCCGTAACCTCCCAGAGCTGCAAGTCCTGGATCTCTCCAGAAATCTACTGGAAGATCTACCTCCGGAGCTCTTCACCAACGCCACTAGCCTGAGGCAGTTATCCTTCAGTGAAAACCAGCTGGCTGAATTGCGCCCATCCTGGTTCGAAACCCTGGAGCAGCTCAAGTTCCTGGTCCTCGACCATAACCAGCTGAAGGAGGTGCCTAGCTCTTGCTTCCTCAAGCTGAAGAAGCTGACCTCCCTGGACCTCTCCTTCAACCTCCTCCACCACCTCTCTCCGGAGATGTTCAGAGGCCTGGAAAACGTAGACAGGCTGATCCTGGAGAGCAACCCCATCGGGTGCATTGCGCCCAAGACCTTACACGTCGTTCCAAGGCTGTCAACACTCTCACTTGCCAACGCCAGCCTGACCCACATCCCCGCTGGGCTCTTTGAGTCCTCAGAGTATCTGGAGCTCCTGGACCTCTCCAGCAACGAGCTCACCTCGCTGGAGATGCTGTTCCTCAACCCGACTCCCAAACTCAGCCTCGATCTCTCAGGAAACCCCTGGGCGTGCGACTGCCGCATGCACACGCTTTTAAGCTGGGTCAAGGAGCGCGCCGTCAAGTTATACTCCAAGACGGAAACTGTTTGTGCTTTCCCAAAGAGCCTGCGAGGTCAAGTTGCAACTTCGCTTCAGGGATCCCAACTTTGTTCCTGCTAAACCTTCAAGACTGATCTTTCTCCATCCTGCTTCCTGAACTGCAGTGTTTCCCAATTTGGGCCATTTCCAGGGGAATGGACTTCAATTCCCAGAGTTCCCAGCAATGGCCGTGCTGGCTGGGCCATTCTGGGAGCTGAAGTCCACATGTCTGGAGGGCAATCTTCAACTCCCAGAATTCCCAGCAATGACCATGCTGGCGGGGCCATTCTGGGAGCTGAAGTCCAGATGGGAGTTGCTCAGGTTGGGACGCTGTTTTGGACAAAGGAGAAAGGATCCTTTCTACTTTTCTTACCCAACTATGAGAACTGCAAGTTTGGGGACTCAGACTGGGACGTGCGAACACTTTCAACCTCCCCCCTCGATAGGTACCGTTCTTTAAAACGAGATGGATTTCCTGCCTAGTACAATTTATTTTTTAAAAGCCTTCCGCATGGTCGCTAGGATCTCTGGCAAGTGATTTGCAAGGCTCAGTCAACTGGTACATTGGTTCCCCCTGAAAGCACAACCGGTTTGTGATCACTGCGGCTTGCACGCTCCTCCCCAAAGTCTGACATTTCTCATTTATTCTTCCAGGGCCCCACAGATTAGCAAGGAGGTTATTAATGACGCAACCACCGTTTCTCTCGCACACGCTTTGGTTTCTTCTGTGATTTCTTCCCCCAGCTCCCCCCACCCCACCTCGCTTTCTAATTGGGAGCCACACAAAAGGGTTCCCTGTTATCGTCTCGGCTGCAAATTGATGGAGTCCCATGGAAGTTTTAAATTAAATCCAATTGCTTAAAGATATTCGGCAATTTGCTGTGATTTAACCGAGCAATAAAGCCCAAACACGAAATAGCATTTGCTGTCCCAAAGCGACTTTTTTTTCCTGGCGTTGCTTCGCTCCCTGCTCCTTCCTTTAAATAATATGCGCTATTGATGTAAACAGAAGCAAAGGAAAATTAAGAATCCGATACTGCAGGGTGAGGAGAGGAAGAAAGGAAACGCTGCAGGGCGATAAAATCTGCGGAGGAATTCAGGCTGTGGCAAACGCTGGGTCTGGCTGGGGGACAAACAGGATTGGCATCGAGGCTTGGCACCAGCCGGAATCTTTAGAAACAAACATAGTGCCAGAAATATTGAGCCCAAGAGGAGATACAGGAGATAAATATCCAGAATACAAATTTTAAAATATTAAACAGGTTCCACTCCGGCAGACCACAGCAACATGTGATTTGCTGGGGTTTTGGCAACCATACCGTGTGGTTTTATATTGCCCAGAGACGTAAGGTTTCCTGGTGGTCTTCCATCCGAGCATAGTAAAGGAGAGGGTGTCTAATGGAAGTCATTTGCATCCATTTCGGCCATTTGCGTCAATCCCTGTGGTTTTCACAATTGCGTAATTGATGTTTCAAAGCAGCGTTTCTCTTTTTTGTATATAATAGTTTTATTAAACATTACAGATTACAAAGATAAAAGCTAATACAAACTAAAAAAAATAAGAGTAGAAAGAAAAAATAGAAAGTGCAGGAAAGAAAAAAAATAGAAAAGAAAGAAAAAATAAGAGTTACACAGGTAGTTCTTGATTTATGACCATCCGTTCGACGGCTGTTCGAAGTTATGACGGGCCTGAAGGGAGTTACAAGCCGTGCCCAAAGTTCTGGCCCTTGCAGCGCCCCCATGGTCACATGATCAAAATTTGGGTCCTTGGCAGCCGGCCTGCGCTTATGACCACAGGGGTGTTCAACTCCCCCCACCCACCTATCTCCCCCCATCTCTGCCCTTTTGGCCCCCTGCTGCCCTGCACTCTGCCACCCCAGCTGACCTTCGCCATCTTCTTGCTCCTGCTGCTGATGAGGTGTGCCCGATCTGGCCAGCTGGACACACCTTGTCAGCAGTGGGAGCAAGAAGACGGTGAAGGTCAGCTGGGGTGGCAGAGTGCAGGGTGGTGAGGGTGACTGGCTGGGACTGGGCTGGGGTGGCTGTGGCTTCCCAGAGCATGGCAAGCAGCCCCAGAGCTGCAAGGTTCAGGGGGTGGCTGCCCCCCCAACAAGCCAAGAGGTCGGCGGTCGAC